CCCTATAACCCTATAACCCTATAACCCTATAAACCCCAAACCCCTAAACCCTTAAAACCCCCAAGCCGCTGCTCGGCCAGGTGCTCATGCGCGAGATGAGATCGCTGATGGCGCTTCAAGGCCGTGGGCACGGTGGCAGGGTTCGTGGCCTAGGGTTTAGGGTTTAGGGTTTAGGGTGTAGGGTTTAGGGTTTAGGGTTTAGGGCTTAATGAGATCGAGGCTGGGCTTTGGGTTCAGGTGTCAGGGCAGAGCTGCAGCCGGGATAAGGCCTAAGGCCTCGAAACACATGGCGCTGTCTACCACAGGGGTCGGAATATTTAGCAATAGTATTCCCGCATGGTTCCTACATAAATTATACTATAACCCCCCCCCCCCCCGAACCCTATTCTAACTATTCAGGCGCCTATGTCAGGGTCTTCGTAGCCCAGTGATACCATTTAGACCTTCTTTTTTGGGACGATTGTTTACTATCCCTTCTTGAGGGTTTAAGAGGATCATTTTTTCAGAGGGTTTCAGGGGCCATCCAAGATTCCCCTATAAAGTCGCTAACCCTAAACCCTAAACCCTAAACCCTAAACCCTAAACCCAAAAAAGGCCCTTATTGCAATGTGGTTACTGGGCTACTGGAAGGGTTGATCATGGGGATCCTTGATGCATCCTTCTGCACCCTGAGTCCAATAGCAGGGTTTAGGGTTTAGGGTTTACGGTTTGGGTTTAGGGTTTAGGGTTTAGGGTTTAGGGTTTACAGTTTAGGGTTTAGGATTACCTTATGTCTTGCTTGTTGCGAATTCAAGAAGTTCCTACTGAGGCTTGAGGCATTTGCGTTACGAAGATCTTGTTATCGGGGCTGACGCGGGCTGCACTCAGGTTTAAGCCCTAAACCCAAAACCATAAACCCTAAACCCGTTTAGGTAGGGTGTAATAGGGTTTAGGGTTTAGAGCCCTACCCTTGGGGGCTTCCGGTTCGGGCTCCCCGCCCCCCTTTTAAAGAAAAAAACTTCTTAACTTTAGGGTTTAGGGTTTAAGGTTTAGCTGTACTTAGAACCCACTTATACAAGCCCCTGAAGTGCCCTAGTATGGTTGGTAGTACAGATATATGTACAGTTGTAATTGGTGAATAGGCGCCCTGAACCTCCAAGTATTCTCGTGGCCCGACACCCCAACCATCCCCTGACCAACTCAGTCCTGCTGTCTGTGTGTGTGTGTGCGCGCACCGATGCTGAACCGTGAGCCCTAAACCCTAAACCCTGAACCCTGAAACCTGAAACCCTAAACCCTAAGCCAGGTTCTGATGGACAGAAGGTACTGGAAGTCGACATGGTGCAGGCCGCCCTTCTGCTGTTTCTTTTGAAGGTTTTAGGGTTTAGGGGTTTAGGGGTTTAGGGGTTTAGGGTTTAGGGTTTCGGGTTCAGGGTTTTCGGTGGTTCAGTGATTTAGGGCACTGTATGCCCTAAGGCCTGAACCCCCAACCTCAACTCCTAAGCCTACAGGGCTTTTTGTGCAGTCATCTGGTTTTCGAGACTTTGCGCAAGAAGCTACAAGCCTAACCTGAGCAGTTGATGTACTTTCCCCTAAACCCCAAACCAAAATACACTATAAACCCTAAACCCTACACCCTAAGCCCTAAACCCTCAAGACAGAATCAATAGAAGTTGTATCCGGTACCAGTCTGATTTTTCCAAGTTATTTGTCTAAGCAGCTGACAAGCTGAGTTTAGCTATATTAATCCAAAACACATCTGTCTGGAGGCCAAATGCTCAATTTACTTAAACCCTCCCCCCCCCCCCACCCCTCCCCCCTCCCCCCTCCCCTCCCCCCTCCCCCCTCCCCCTCCCCCCTCCCCCTCCCTCCCCCCTCCCCCCTCCCCCCTCCCCCCTCCCCCCTCCCCCCTCCCCCCTCCCCCCTCCCCCCTCCCCCCTCCCCCCTCCTCCCCCTCCCCCCTCCTCCCCCCTCCCCCCTCCCCCCCGCCCCCTCCCCCCCCTCTCCCCCCTCCCCCCCCCCCCCTCCCCTCCCCCCTCCCCCCCCCCCTCCCCCCTCCCCCCTCCCCCCCTCCCCCCTCCCCCTCCCCCCTCCCCCCTCCCCCTCCCCCCCCCCCTCCCCCCTCCCCCCTCCTCCAGATCTCGCCCCCTTCCCCCCCTTCTGCCAGATCTGCGCAGATCTTTCTTCCAGACCTCCCCCACTTCCCCCCAAATCACATTTCCAACAAAAAACTGTTGCTCAAACTTTCGGTCAAAACGTTATTGGGGTCCAAACCCTATACAATGTCTATAAACTCAAACCCCAATCTATAAACTCTAGACCCTGAGAGGCGCTGGGGGAGGAGGGGTCCCCGTTTATCAGGGGCCCAAACCCTTGCGTTAGAGGATTTCGGATGTAGAGTTTAGGGTTTGGGGTTTTGGGGTTTAGGGTTTAGGGTTTAGAGTGCAAGGGACCCCGAAATTCAGAGCCCAACTACTAGGAGCCTCGGACAAAGAGCAGGACTCCCTTTACCACTGGAGCGTGAAGATGGCCGCGGACTGTGAGGGTTTAGGGTTTAGGGTTTAGGCTTTAGGGTTTAGGGTTTAGGGTTCAGGGTTGAGGGTTTTAAGGTGTAGGGGTAGGAGGGTTAGGGGTTTAAGGTTGAGGGCTTAGGGGTCTAACGCTCTAAATTCTTTCAATCCAAGCCTACCCCTCACCGCAAAACCCTTCCCCCCCCTCAAATACGATCAGGCCCTGAAAACAACCATAAACACCAAACCCCACCCGAAGCCCTTCGACCCCAAAAAAACCTAAGAACCCTACCGCCCCTACCCCCCTCCCCCCCCCCCCCTTCCCCGCCACCTGGCATCTCTGAGACTATACGTACGGAGTTCTGCGTACCTCAGTTAAACCCCCATACCCCGCCATAAACGTAAGCCTTAGAAGCCCTATGCATCTTCAGGCGTATAATTTATAAAGCCCTATAAACCCATAAGCCTTCTAAGGCCTAAAGTAGAATCAATAAATGTATGTGACCTCTAAATCCTAGAAATTTCTGTACGCCGTATAAACCTTAAACCCTGAACTCGAAACCTACCTAAAACCCAACGTTCTACAAAGCCCAAACCTACCAAAACCCCAAAACCCTAACCCCTATAAACCTCAAACCACCGGAAACCCCAATAAAACAAGCTAAACCCTAAACCCTAATCCTAAACCCATCTCCCCCTCACCATGCCTCTTTTCGCAGGAGAGCTTCCCGGCCAGCGAGCTTCGAC